TTTGCGTAGTATATATGAAGATATGCAAGCATTTATTCGTCCTGCGGCTGTGAAGACATTAAACACTGTCAACAGCACGTTTTTAATACAGCTGTGAACAGCAGTAACGCCAGCAACAACAACAACAACAACAACAACAACAACAACAACAACCACAACAGCGGAACGTTAAACAACAACCATATGGAGTGCAAAGAAAAAATTAAATCGAGATGAATGTGAAACGAATAAATAGCAGTGTGCGGCATAACAGCGCACAAGAGCAGCACAGGATGTGAATGTGGAGTGTGGCAAAGTATGTGTGACAGCATAAAAATATAAATGAAAGTAAACACGTAAAACGAAAGCGAAATGGGAGACCTCCTCCGGAGTGGCAGGCAGGACGTGACAGGAGATGGGGTGGGAACGAATGTGCTGTATATTTATTTTTGTGGAGGAAATTAAATTAGGAGGCATTCACTTGCAACCAATTTAGTTAGATCTAACTAGGGCTTAGCGAACGTTTTGAATTTCGGCGGGAAGGGCTATCTTTTCGACATGAAAAAAATTGTAATTCAACGAATGTATGAATGTATGTAGTATGTACACGCTCAAAAATATATTGAAATAGCTGCGCTGAGGTTGAATTTTATACATCTTTTAACCGTGGATTATTAAATGAAAGCCACCTCCACCCAATTCGGTTGAAGTATTTATCATTTCAGACAAAATACGATTTTTTTATTCAAACTGCTGGGCATAGTTGAGTACCCGTTGTGATACCAATTGAGAGCCCGAATTCGAACACATCCGTTCACCTAGAAGTAGAACCACTTGGTTCACGAATGCCGGCTTCACTTAGGTTGGTCAGACAGACAAAGAGGTGGTGGTGAAATGAGCGTCTTTTCGCCTACGAAAGGGCAGGACAGTGACAGAGTTCGTGTTTCACATGCTCGAGTTCGTTCACGTCGCGGAACCTTCGGCAGAAGTTTTAGCCGGCAAGCCCATTCTGCTAGCATGCCTTCCCATTAAGCAGTGGCCCGTAATAATACCGCTCACCAGCCTAAGTAGGTAAGGACGTGTAAACCGAATGTGTGTATCAGATCTTTTCTTATCGAGGCTGGGCTAGATTTGTCGAATCGTCCCACAAATGGGTTCTTCCGACCATCTCCTATTTGACTGCTCGACGAAGTGTCTCTTGAGCCATGTCTTGCAGGTAGCTCGCAGTATATCCGCCGCATGAGAAGAGTTGACGTCAGACAGGGCGATGCCCTTCCTCGCAAGCTTGTCTGCTGCACTGTTACCTCAAATGTTCCTGTCGCCTGGCGCTCACACAATTTTGGTAGTAGACCTAAAAGAAAAAAAGTTAAGGGCTTTCCTATCGCAGTTATTGACGAAGTTTTACAGCATTGTAGTGACTTATTAGCTACTTGGCTATCTGAGTATATAGTTACTGAACGCAGGTTAAGAGAATATCCGATAAGAGTGCAGCCTCTTTTATAGCCGCGAGTTCTGCTTGGAGGACACTGAAGTGGTCTGTAAGCCTAAAGCATCCATGCAGATGGCTGTGAAGTTATCTTGGAGGCTTCAGTTCGAGCCATCCTCCCACTCTTTCCTCGAAGGGATACTAGTGGAGAACTTCTTCTCGAGCTACAGCGGTGGTGTTTAGTAATCTGGAGACCTAGTTAATCGTATCGACGTAGTGGGTTTGAATATTGGTGCCCCTGAATCGAATTTAATTCCATTTTGACAGTGCGTTTAGTCTTAATGCATTGCAGCTCAGCCGCCCTTTGAGTCTTGGTATGTTTAGAATTAGTTTGCGATCAATCCAGTGATGTCCACTTGACTGTGATGCCGTAGTATAATATAAGACGTACGACTGCTGTATAAAACTAGTGCACTGTGTGGTATGTGGAGGGCGTAAATAACGCTTTTGGCCCAAAGTTTTCCTTGCAAAGAGCACCGTGACCGTTTTTGCCGGGTTGGCATTCAGTCTGCATTCTTTATACCAGTTTCCCACGATACTCAAGGCGTTCTGATTCAGTTCACACAAGGCTTGAGGCTATTTACCAAAATCAGTCAGCAAGCAATGTGGATGGAATCCGCAATTTCATTGCATCCTGTGCTATGTAAGCGCATGAGTAGGGTGTTCACCGATAGATTCTAGAGAACGGGTGAGCGTGCACCTTCTTGAGGAACGCCCCTTGTCGCATATCTTGTAATGTAAGCCCCACTCGAATAGGTAGTTCTCTGATTGAGAAGAAGGCGGACAAAGTCCACCCAGGGGTCCACCCAGTCCGGTTTGGAGGACGTTACAAAAAGCTCCTGCAATGTCTAGAAAGATACCTAGTGTTAGCTCCGTGTATGCCAAAGATTTCTCGATGTTGCAAATGATTTTATCGAGTGCGGTTTTCACTGGCTGGCAGTCAGATAGCTCCTTAGTAACCATCCTTTGACGAATAAATGTGTTCAGTATCCTTTCTAGGAAGAATGTTACTCAATATTGCCAGTCTATTTTTTCCATGACGTCCCCAGAGCCCTTTGAATAGTTCGCTTGAAATTTCCTAATGGTTACTTACAGGATGTCCCGATAAGTCAGCTAAATATATTTCTCTCAACACTTTATCAAGTAACTTTAACCAAAAAAATTTTACATAATGAACCCGTATGTTGAAAGTAAAATATTTAGTTAATGTAAATAAACCCTTTACTTAGGGCGGTAGGCTTCGTCCCATTCTATACTAATTAGAAGCCATATAAGAATCCTAAATTCTAAGTTCCTTGATGGCGTATTTTGGTCTGTGATCGGCATCTTAGTCAGCATTGATCCGGTTATGATGTCACTCAAGATCGTCGTTGTGTACCCCTATTCAGCTTGCTTTTACAATTTTGATTTCCTATTAAGTAAAAAAAAAAACTATTTTTTTTGTGACTACACCAGTAATCAATATTTGTCGGATGCAGCCTTCCGATTATTTCCTGACTGCTTAATACTCTTAGCCAGGACCACATACCAATCAAGATCATACCAAGTTATGATCGGTAGGATGACTGTTGTATGCTTACTCAGTTTTGCCATACCACTTTTTGAAAGTATCGCATATTGCTGGGTCTTTCTTTTCTTTACCTTCGTGTACTTGCATTCTAAATCTAAATGCCAATAAGGTGTTTGAAATAGTTACGGTATTACCACAAAAACGTAGAATTTCCGAAGAGTCTCTCCAAATTGACCTTACCCATAATCTGTGGCTTTCTCAGAACTCTCCCGCGCTGCTGTCTAAACCATCCGCCACAATAAAACTCATTACACCAAAGTGCCGCACTTTGCTCCATATCTGCCAGCCAGCTAGCAAGCCAGCACGCAAATGACTTCGTTTAATGTCCGCACACATTTGAAGATTAAAAGATTCCAGGATGCGTACTAACAAAACAAACAAAAAAAGAAAATGGAGGAGAATGAATAATGCCAACGGAAACTAGAAAACAATATGAGTGTGGTCGGGATGTGCAGGTGCTGAACTCCTCGTTGGGTTGCAAAGGGAAGTCGCAAAGCCACTACAAAAACAAAAACAGAAAAAAAAATTCAACTGAAATTTAATGTAACAAAGTGCTGTGATTGTTTTGCTGTTGTATTTAGCACAGGTACGAACGAGTCTTTAGCAAGCGCTGGCGGCGAGTGTTGACAACAACAACAAAAGTAGTAGCAACAAAAAACAACAGTTGCAATTAGTTTGTAAAACTTAGCGTTGACTTAGCATTATTGTGCAGTGCAGAAGTGGAAGGAAAATACTAAATGAAAGTGTTTTTGAGCAGGAAAAGTGTTTAGCACGAGCGGCGGAGAAGAAAACACAATTGAGGAGAGGATGAAAAAACGCTAGAAGAAAATAGTGGATTTTAAGTTAGAAGTCAAAGCGCGTTGGGTTATTTTTAATCTTCAGCACTTTTCAAATGTTTTTTTTTTTTTTTTTTTTTACCGAGCTGGAACCCCGGCAGGTGTGGAACTTTTTTTATGCTTTAAGCTGTGTACTTTTGCCGGTTTCAGTTTAGTGCACATTTCCGTGCGCACATACATACATACATACACATATACAAATACACAAGTATAAATGCAAAGAAAGCTATTAAAGCATAAGAACTCTTCTCCCAGCCCATAAAGCTGTCACTAGCTTTCGTTCTGCCTGTCTGTCTGTCTGTCTGTCCATGTGACTGTTTGTTGTAAAAACGTCATCATAAAGGTGAGATAATTTCGCTCCAGTTTCTTTTCATTGCAACTTTTACTATTCTTCAGCTCGCTTCACAATTTTATGCCTTTACTCACTACTGGCTGCCTGGCTGCCTGGCTGCTGGCAGTAAAATGCGATGCGGCCTGATGCACGTTTTACTTTGTATTTGAGCATTGCTTTTGGCACAATTTTCTCCAAACCAAATTGCTGGATTTTTTCCGCTCCGCTTGCACCCACCACCCTCGTCGTCCTTTTGTTCTTAGTAAAGCTAACTTTTTGTTTATTCTCCGCAGCTGTGTACATTGCTCAACATTGTATTCTTTTATGTATGTATCCACTCCTTGTGCGGGTGTGCTGTTTTTCGTATTTGAGTTTTCACAGATTTTTGTGACTTTTCCACGTCTTTTATCTCATTGAATCGCAACGCGAGCAACGTTTCCAT